GCCTTTCTGGAAAAATAATCCTTCATTGTGGTTCGCTCAGATCGAAGCACAATTTTCTATCGCTCGCATTAGTGAGGATTCTACAAAATTCAACCACGTAGTTGCAGCAATTGAGTCTGATATTCTGAATTCAGTGCATGACTTAATTCTTCAAACCACCTGATTTGTAGGATAAATACTCCAAACTGAAACAGCGGCTCATTGAAATATATTCAGAAAGTGAATCTTCAAAAATACGTACTTTACTACAAGGACTTGAACTTGGAGATCAGCGACCTTCATACTTGCTGTCACATGAATGCGTGATCTGGCAGGAAAGCCATTTTCAGTGACGACTTGTTGAAGTCACTATGGCTTTTCGCGTCTCCCTAATAACATACAAATAATTCTTGCTGCTTCTTCCAATGAAGATCTAACCCGTTTAGCAGCAATGGCTGACAAAATTAATGAACTTGTTACTCCAGCTTATGTCAGTGCTGCTAATGCTGCACCTTCCAGTTCATCCCTCGAACAAACAAGTGGCTGAATTGACAAAAAAGTATCTGAACTCTCTACAAGTCTTCATGCTTCACGGAGATACAATCGATCAAATCAGGGCCCACGTAATAAATTTCGTGCCCGAAGCAGGAGTCAATCTCGTCACAATACTCGAAAGCAGTACAAAGAACCCACAAGTGGCATATGTTTTTATCATATGAATTTGGCTCTCAAGCTCGCAAGTGTGCCCTCCATGCACTTTTGTACAAGCGGGAAACTAAATGGGCGGTCTTCTGCTGGCCAACAGAATGAATGTCCGCCACATCGACAGAATAGTACTGGCTGATCGTTCAACTCAGTTATGTTTTTCTAGTAGATACTGGAGCTGACATATCAGTGCTCCCGAGAACTAAAACAAATGCTCACCAACTTAATAAACTTGTACTGTATGCAGCCAATGGTACCCAAATTGCAACCTACGGCACCAAACTATTGACACTTGATTTAAACTTGCGCCGGACTTTCAACTGGCCTTTTATTATTGCGGATGTAACTCAAGCAATTATTGGTGTCGACTTCTTGACACATTTCCACCTTCTAGTGGATGTCAAGAATAATTGCTTAATTGATGCTACAACTCAGCTGACATCACAGGGCCAAGCTTCTCACATATCAAACGTACCTACCAACATAAGTGTTGTATCGGGCAGCACACGGTTTCATCGGTTATTAGCAGAATTCCCTGACATTTTAAACCCATCCAAATCAGGGCAGCATACTCATCAGCCAGAAGTGTATCATCACATTGAAACACATGGCCCACCTGTATTTTTCAAGCCTCGTCGTCTTTTCTCCAGAGATGCTAAAAGCTGCTCGCAAAGAATTTGAATTCATGCTAGCACAGGGAACCATTCGCCCATCTAAAAGTCCATGGGCCAGTCCACTTCACATGGTTAATAAGTCTAATGGTGACTGGCGGCCTTGTGGAGATTATCGTCGACTTGATGCCGTCACAGTCCCTGACAGATATCCAGTCCCACATATCCAAGACTGTACCCATCTTTTTCATGGAACAAACATATTTTCTACCCTCGATCTTGCCAGAGCATATCATCAGATCCCAGTGCATGCTGAAGATGTGCCTAAGACCGCAGTGACTACAACATTTGGTCTCTTTGAGTATTATATATGCCATTTGGCCTTCGCAATGCTGGCCAAACATTTCAGCGTTTCATACACCAAGTACTGTCTGGTCTCGATTTCTGCATCCCATATTTTGATGATATCCTGGGTTGCATCTACAGATGCGGAAGAACATTTTAAAACATCTGCGTCAGATTTTCACTCGCCTTAAAGATCATGGATTAAAACTAAATCCATCCAAATGTGTACTTGGTCAACCCTCAGTTTCCTTTCTTGGATGTCTTATTACCCAGAATGGAGTCAAACCTTTACCGGAAAGAGTCAAAGCAATTAACGACTTACCTCAGCTCAAAACCATCTCTGATCTGAAGCGTTTTCTAGCAATGTTAAATTTCTACCGACGCTTTCTGCCAAATGCCGCAAAAACACAAGCCTGCCTACATGAGTTTCTGAAGAATAGCAAAAAAAAAAAAAAAAAACGATCAACGAGCTGTCCCTTGGACTGAATCTGCATCTGCAGCATTCGTGCAATGCAAACACGATCTGGCAAATGCAGCCACACTTTCTTATCACTCACCTAGTGATCAGCTCTCTATAATGGTAGATGCATCTGACACTGACACGGCCATAGGAGCAGTGCTTCAAGCCCATACCACTAAAGGACTTTCCCCAATGGCATTCTTTTCCAGAAAACTTACTACTGCAGAAAGGAAATACAGCACATATGACAGAGAGCTACTTGCTTGCTGTGTACTGTGCTGTTAAATACTTCCGGCACAACTTGGAAGGACACGACTTTCATCATTTTCACTGATCATCGACCATTAATTTTCGCTTTTAGGAAAAAACTCTGACTCATGTTCTCCTCGTCAGCTTCGACATCTGGATTTCATCGCTCAGTTCAGAACAGACATCAGATATGTCTCTGGTACTGATAATTGTGTCACTGATGCCTTGTCTCGGGTAAACAATATCAACCTCACTACCCCAGATTTCTCTGAAATTGCAAAAGCTCAATTGCATGATGAGGAACTCAAGAACCTAATCTCAAATCCACAAACCTCCCTTCAGTTACAAACCGCTGCACATTGATCCAACGCTTAAAATTTACTGTGACATAGAGAACAATAGAATACGTCCCTATATTCCTGTCAATTTTAGACGTGAAGTGTTTAATGCCTTGCACAATTTGGCACATCCTGGAATCCGTGCCACCAAAAAGCTGATCGCAGACAGATTTGTCTGGCCAGCAATGAATCAAGACATCACAGAATGGACTCGTTCATGTATTAGATGTCAACGGTGTAAAGTATCCCGTCACACTCACAGCCCCATTCAACAATTTAACCTTCCAGCAAGACGCTTTGATCATGTGCATTTAGACTTGATTGGCCCATTGCCTCCTTCAAATGGTTACACTTACCTCCTCACTTGTATTGATCGGTACACAAGATGGCCTGAAGCCATTCCTATTGAAAATATATCCGCTGAAACTGTAGCCCGAGCATTTTCTCCCAGTGGCTTTCAAGATTTGGCATGCCTACCACCATCACTACTGACCAAGGCCGACAATTTCAATGTCACTTGTTCGCATCCCTCACCTCTCTTCTTGGCATTCGCCATATTCGCACAACACCATACCATACATCTGGAAATGGGATGGTGGAACGCTTTCACCGATCTCTCAAACAAGGTCTGAAGTGCCACAGTAGCACACACTGGACAGAAGCCTTACCCCTAGTCTTGCTTGGTCTTCGCACAGCATTCAAAGAAGACATTGGTAGCACTTGTGCTGAAATGTTATATGGTGCAACCCTCCGTCTGCCAGGTGAATTCTTTCACCCAGAATCTACTCCAGTTATCGACCCTCCAACATTCCTTCAACGTTTACGTGAGACCATGAGCAATATCTCGCCAACCCCAGCATCTTCGCATAACCAGCCAAGCTATTTTGTACATCCTGCGCTTGAGACATCTTCGCACGTATTCGTGCGCAACGATGCAATCAAGCCAACTTTAACACCTTCATACGATGGTCCATTCAAAGTTGTCAAACGAACACCGAAACATTTCACCATCATCTGCAATGGCAAACAATCAGTGATTGGAATCGATCGTCTCAAACCAGCATTTCTAATGCAAGATCCAACAACTTCCTCATCAACATCACTCCCGGAAGAAGGCTTACATTCCGTTAAAGAGCAACCTAAAACTACCAGATCTGGAAGAAAGGTTAAATTTAACCCAAAGTACTTATAACGTACCGATGGTACTTGGGGGGGAGTACTGTGGCGTTCCGACAGATACTTCAACTTCTATTCATGAGATGGCGCCACGTGTAAAATCCAGTTCTTAATCGGAGCAGCAAAGCGAAATCTTTACTCACTCAGACTTCTCGTCGAACATGCGTACGCGCGCTAGCATGAACTGTGTTCCGAGCTCTGTGTTGATCTCTGCAATGTAATTTAAATTGTAATTTAGTATTTAATATATTCTTTTGTTATAGGAGATTGTCTACTCTTATTTTCTTTAATTATATCATGCATTAAGCACACACGACCACCAAACATAAGGGTCAGACCCATTTATAAATGCTCAGGAGTATTTGAAATGCTTCCAACTTTTCCTTGTTAAGATATAAATATTTAATTTAATATTCATTTTCTTATTTATTATGATTTTCAGTTTTTCTGATTGTAATCTTAGAAAGTTTTTTAAAATTTTTCTTTGATAAATTTCTGAGATATCTGTAGTCGAGAATTCAGCTGATAATGTATTGCGCCAGGAAAATCGAAATTTTACTTCATTTCACCCGCTAAACGGGTTGCTTTCAACCCCCCTAAGGGGCTGCTCTTATCTGACTTTTAAATCTCGCGTTGAATAGCGACCAAAATTTCTTCTTCTTCATCAGCTGTTACTCTGACTTGCTTCTACTAGAATCCGCGTAACGGGTCCCCCCGCCTGCTTCGCGTAGCTACCCCGAGGGGGTACAAGTTCAATGAGTTCAAGTTCAATATATTATTGTTGATATCAAGAATAAAGGAAACATCTTGCACCTTTTAATTCTATGCCAAATTTTATGAATGATGACTGCCCTCCAAACTGAAATCTGGCCGTTTTTAGACCCGAAATTTAAATAAAAAGACCTTCTATGACTTTTTACTATTTTTCTCATGCAGAAGGCATTATCTGAAAAGCTTTTATTTTTATAAATTAGGCTTCTAAATTTTTCTCATATTAGATGAACCCCTCTTTTGATGTATTAATTATTTTATCTCTGATGATGTGGAGTCAAAGGCCTAGCCTAGAGCACTCCGTAAATTAACTTCCTTGATCCTTGAAATTTAACTTCAACTTCAATCTTCGCTTAAAGTGTCGTCGTTTAAGTTGTCAACAGTTACAGACTAAAGAGTACTCAGTAGGGACTTTGTATAGCATTTAGCGCGTCAAAATGTTTAGCTGGCTAAGCAGAGACGAGAGTCGTCGACGAGAACCAGAATTATATAATACTGTAGTTGATGGCTTACGGAAAATTTATAAAAGTAAGATATTACCTTTAGAGGAACATTATCTCTTTCATGAATTTCATTCGCCGCCGTTAGATGATCCGGATTTCGATGCTAAACCAATGATACTGCTTGTCGGCCAATATTCAACAGGAAAAACTACATTTATTAGGTACTTACTGGAGAAGGATTTTCCAGGTATTAGAATTGGACCTGAACCGACTACCGATCGTTTTATCGCTGTGATGTATGGAACTCAAGAAACTGTCATTCCAGGAAATGCATTAGTCGTTGATCCTAAAAAGCAATTCCGACCTCTTTCAAAGTTCGGGAATGCCTTTCTGAACAGGCTACAGTGTTCAATGGTAAATTGTGATGTTTTACAAAGTTTAACAATTGTAGATACTCCTGGCATATTATCTGGAGAAAAGCAAAGAGTTGACAGAGGCTATGACTTTGCCGGTGTTTTGGAGTGGTTTGCGGAGAGAGTGGATCGTATTATTCTGCTCTTCGACGCCCACAAATTAGACATATCAGATGAATTTCGAAGGAGCATCGAAGCTTTGAGAGGTCACGACGACAAAATTCGTATTGTTCTGAATAAAGCAGATATGATTGATCATCAACAACTTATGCGTGTGTATGGAGCTCTCATGTGGTCTCTGGGTAAAGTATTAAACACACCAGAAGTAGCACGAGTGTACTTAGGATCGTTTTGGGATCAACCATTAAGGTATGATTACAATAGAAAATTGTTTGAAGCTGAAGAGCAGGATTTATTTCAAGATTTGCAAAGCTTACCAAGAAATGCTGCTCTTAGAAAACTCAATGATTTAATCAAAAGAGCTCGATTAGCCAAGGTATGTTATTATTAACGTTTCTAATGCTAATTTCATCAGTTGCGTTTAAATGAAGTAAAATAATCTTTCCAGTCCAGTTTCTGTGCATAGGACTATTTAAGTTATGATGGTTTTGTTTGATTGGATTTGAAATGTGTTTTAATTTATGAAATAATATCTCCAAGTGTTCATAATTTATTTTTTTAAAACCAAATAAGACATTATTTTATGTGTGTTACTGGTTTACTTTATCCTTAGAATCTGAAATCTTAGGAGTCATGCTAGCTGGGCCAAAATTTTATATTTCTAATGTTGAATCAAAAATGTGAACTTAATAATAATTTATGTAGTTTCATCAACTATGTAAATCATTTTTAAAATTCTAATCGTGCATAAAAGAATTATTATAATTACATAGAATTGTTACAAGTTATTTAGGTTAATCTTTAGATTATGGTAACTTGGCAATTTTTTGGTGAAAATTTGGCAATCAACCCCGCTACAGTAACCTGCTAGTTTTTGTTTGGACGCCATTTTGTTTTCACGAAGTAAAGGCATGTTTTTTTTTTTTTTTTTTTTTTTTTTTTTTTTTTACTCAACATTTTTTTCCAACAATCTGCTAGCCGAATTACGCTTATGCTAGAACTTTTATGGAACAAAAGTGCTTAATCATGACAAAGATTTGGTGCGAAATTGGGAGAAAGTGGAGAATCGCAAACTGCTTGCCGCGTTTTTAAGAATTGCACATACATGGTATCCCTTTACACGTCGACTTATTTTCACTTTAAAAAAAATCCCAGAATTGCACAAAAATGGCATTGTGCACACTCTTGACTTTATCCATGTACACTGCTAAAGTCCTAGCTAGTAAACTTTATCGCCTTACCAAAATGTCGCCAAACTACCTGTTACCATATTCCAAAGATAGGCGTTATTTAATAGGTGAGCTATAAAAGTAGGCAATAAAAATTTCAGTAATTTGTATCAATTCTAAAATATTAGTAAATTTATTTTATAATTATAATCTCTTAATGAAGCCAGATTATCATTAAATTGTAGGATCATTGTAAATGTGCAAGTTAGGAAATGTGTATGTGTATGTATTGAGAATACGGCAAAGCACAGTAGGACTATCTGCCTAAGGGGAGGGATGCCTTCGTGGAGAACTTTCTAAGGGAAACTGGCTCATTTACAAATGGGGAAAACCAATAGGAAATGTGTAAAGCTTTCATAAGATATAATTACCTTGGATATAAAATATACTTTTCTACAAGTATAGTTACTGATTAATATATTACTATCTTTATGTTCTCCTTCATACTGATATTAGTCCACCAGTAGCTAAGTGGATAAAACCTTTGAATACTGGTAATTCGATGTGTTTTCAAGTTTTGGTGAACAGGCTGGGTGCATTGGTCATTTTCATGCTGTTTTTTTTTTCTTCCTTCTGTTTGTTATACATAAACAAATATATTGATTATTATAGTGAGGTATGTATGACATTATTCTTAACTGATGCATGTTTGCTCTTGTAGTGTCTTTATCTGAGTGAATCATGTTCTATTTAAAACTCTTTGTGTGTGAAATTTTGTATTTTGAAAATGAAAGTGGAAACAGAAAGATGTTAATTAGAAATTTTGGTATGGTAATAAAATGCACACATAGCTCCTATTTCACGAAGAAAACTATGAAACAGAAAGAATAAATAAAAGCTTTCTTTTTTATATTATATACTAAAACAGAAATCAGTGCAGGGGAAAGTGCAGAATATCCCACTGCTTGGTGCATTTTTAAGAATTGCACATGCTCGGTATCCATGTACACATCGACCTATTTTCTCTTTAAAAAAATCCCAGAATTGCACAAAAATGGCACTGTGCACTCCTTGACTTTATCTATGTACACATCGACCTATTTTCACTTAAAAGAAAATTGACAAAAATCCAATTTATCTTACCCATGTAAAAGGCACCAAACAAACAAGTGGGCGATTCGGTTAATCTTTGGAATATGGTAACAGCTAGTTTGGTGACATTTTGGTAAGGCGATAAAGGTTACTAGCTAGGACTTTAGCAGTATACATGGATAAAGTCGAGTGTGCGCAATGCCATTTTTGTGCAATTCTGGGATTTTTTTTTTTTTTTTTTGAAGTGGAAATAGGCCGACGTGTACATGAATACCGTGTATGTGCAATTCTTAAAAATGTGGCAAGCAGTGGGCGATTCTGCACGTTCTCCCAATTTCACACCTAATCTTCATCATGATTAAGCACTTTTGTTCCATAAAAGTTCTAGCATAAGCGTCATTCGACTAGCAGATTTTTTGGAAAAAAATGCTGAGTAAAAAAAAACATGCCTTTTACTTTCATGAAAACAAAATGGCGTCCAAAAAAAAAACAAAAAAAAAACTAGCAGGTTGCTGTAGCAGGCGTTGGTCGCCAAAAGAATCGCCAAGTTACCATAATGCAAGAGTAATCGGTGATTCTTCTGCACTTTACCCATCAATGCATCCAGAAAAAAAATGTTGGCTAATCTTTTGAATATGGTAACAGGTATTTTTGGCAATTTGGTAAGCGATAAAGGTTACTACAGTCAAAAGTCGTTTAATTCGGGACACCCTAATCGGACCTCAAAGCTAAAAACTTTCTGCGCATGAGCAGCGTTGGCACCTGCGCACAGGGCGTTTTACGCGAGCGCGTAAGACCTTGACTACCTGCGCTATGCGTGTGCGCAGTGCAGAATACGTTTTCGCTGGCGCGTTTATGTATAACGGACGGTTGTAAGCTAAATTACTAATTATCTATTTCAGTTAATGTTAATGACTGCGTTGTTCCTTAATCTTCGAATTGGATCGCGCTTATTATTTTTTGCAAACTGTAAGAGCCAATATATAAAGTAAACTTGGAACTTTCGATTATGTCAAATAGAATTTTGATTCTGGAGCTCCCAAAGGATCGACAAACGAAAGAATGTTCGATGTCCATCAAACAAAAAGTGGAATTGCTGCAAAAAATGGATAAGACATGAGAATGTGACAGAAAGGTCAGTGAAATGAAAAAATTTCGATTGACAAGTTAGTCGGTAGGCTCGGCACAGCAATTAACGGGACTGACAGCGGAACTTTGTAGTGAACAAAAATTATGTCTGTTTATAGAATTAAAGAAAAGTATTATCACATAAAACGAAGAACTTAAACACTTACATTGAAAGAATGTTTAATAAGTAAAACACTAAATATGAAGCTTTTTTTTTTTTTGTAATTTTGATACCCTTTAAATCATAATTGTTCTTTATTTCATAAATTACAGTTTCATATTTTTAATTTTAGAATTTCTGCATGCCATCTTACGAAATTTAAACTGATGATCTATAATCAGGAAAAATCGATAATCTGGAATCGCTGAAGTCCCGACGAGTCTGGATTAACGACTTTTGACTGTAGCTATTAACGTTGGCAATAATCTGAGAAGTACACAGTTCCAGTCACAGATTATTTTGTGGTGACTTTTATAATGGATAATTTAGTGGAAAAAGAAAATTAATGTAATTTCTTGGATATTTTATTTATTTTATACATGTAAATGTTCATCCTTGGAAAGGGTATATACAAGCTGAAGATATAAAAGCTTGCATAGTATACATACTTTTTAGCAATCAGGTAATTTCATACATGTCCTTTTTACCAGTTGAAAGGTTCACAAAATTTTCGTGCAAATTTTTATTTTATGAAAAAATTATTTACTTTTCATATAAATTTGCCCTGTAAAACAAATTTCTGTGCACGTTTGTTCCACTACTTTCCGGAAACTTCCAATCATTATTTTAGCTAATAAGCACTTAAAAACAATTAAGCACTTTTGTTCCATAAAAGTTCTAGCAAAAACATAATTCGGATAGCAGATTATTGGAAAAAATGTTGATTAAAAACAAAAACATGCCTTTACTTCGTGAAAACAAAATGGCGTAAAAAAAAAAGGTACTTTTCCGTTTCGCCGGCGCAAATCTCGCCAAGCGACTTTATTGGCGACAACTACAGTAATACATAAAAATTTAAAAAATGTTAGTTCTAAGAATTCTTTAAAAAAAAAGGCATAAAACATTTAAATATCGCTTAAAATTTTATAAAAAGCCAATAAATAAAGACAATAAATTTGTAAAAGACATAATTTAAGAATTTCTATGCTTTCAATGGTTAACATCCTGATTCGCCCGGTTCCTATCACGGACCCCAAGCACCTCATCTCACGTAAACTACTCTACAAAATCTAATGCTCTCAGTAATTTCTACATTATTTCAAGTTAAATCTTAATTTGGAACACAAGTTAAATGCAAGAAATATTCAATCGTATGAATATCTTACTCAGAAATTATTACTTAGTGCTTTCTTCGCTAATGCCTTCTCATTAAATGGATGATTAACCCCTTGACTTTACTTTTCTAATTTTCGGCTTCAGGTAAGCGCTGTGATTGCTTCCTATTGACTTAATTACGAAAATGGCCTTAACAAAAACTGAACTATCTGATAAAAATTCTATGTAATTATATGCCAGTATTGAAAAAACAATCAAATCTGATAAGAAAAAGCTGCAAACTTGTTTTGAAAATGACGCGTAAAAGGTTACCAGCAAGAATATTCCGTTTGGCATCGGTTGTACCATTATTGGTGACTTTATCGCTTGCGCCGGCAAAACGGAAAAGTACCCCCCCCCCAAAAAAAACTAGCAGGTTGCTGTAGCAGGGTTGGTCGCCAAAAAATCGCCGAGTTACCATAATCTGAAGATTCGCCAAGATGTTATAGTAATGAAATTTTGTATCACATAATATGCACATGATTAAAATTTAATACTAATGAATGAATAGACAAAACTCGACACATTAAAACTTTTAACCCTAAAACTGTATTCAGGGGCTAAACTTGATTTCAAGGGCAAAATTTCCATTAGATTAATTTCAACTATTGCCTGTGCTGTAACAATGCCTGTATGGTTGTTTTGGGCTTAATCTACACTTATCTAACAATT